CACACACACACACACACACACACACACACACACACACACACACACACACACACACACACACACACACACACACACACAGAGGCGATACTTCTGAAGGAATTCCAGTGCCAGGTGAGGGATCCATTATGGGGTCCCATGCATGTCCAGTCTTGTTTTAACATTAGCGAATTGAATAGTAAAATGCCAAATAGAACAAATTCACGTGCTCTTATTTTTCTTCCTTCCTTCTCCAGACTCTACGAGCCTGCATTGCTTGCGTAAAACATGTATTGTGGCTGTTGTTCGTGGTTGTTCTGTTGGTCTCCCCAGTCTGGCATATCATACACCGGGGCCGTTTGCGATTGTCGCTCAAACGGTAGAGTCTTCAGGTCACATGTCATAGCTCACGGGTTGGAGTCTGGCTTGGGACTTTGGAGGGGGTTCTTGTCCAGCTTGGCCTGTCATCTCTTCAAACGAACACATGGTTCCCTCTACATAGCACTGCGCATATCTGGCCTTCGGGCACATACACCTCGCTATACAGTTACACAGAGCACACGTAGCCTTCGTGCAGACCCAAACATGGCTCGTGAATATATTTATACACATAGCGTACGGGCTCATACAAACATACATAGCCTCTGGGCACACACATACACACAACTATGATACCGGGCTGGGGGAGGGGCTATCAGGTAAATGACGGGCTCTACTCACACATGGCTTAACTCTAGGGTACGGTAGGAATATAAGTCGCTCCGGCTAGTCGGAGTTCCGCCTAGCCTTGGGCAAGTTAGGGGAAGGACGGTAGGATGTGTCCGTGGGCGCCGGCTTGCGTTGCTTAGGTACTCCTGCTGGGTAGACTCTCTGAATTTGGCCTGTAGAAGATTGCATGAGCTTGGAGACTGAAGTTCCCGTACGGCAAGGTTCGTCCGCTTCCGCTTCCACTAGGGCTGCTGGGGGGTTGGCCCAGCCTGGGTGCTTGTCACTGCTGTTTTGTCCAAGTTGCCCTTGATAATACTGGTAGGGTGATGATCCTAAGTGCTGGTCACATTGAGATAGGATAGCAGGGACAGGGGGTGCGCTGGTAGTATTAACGTGGGGATGGGTAGGGTAGGTGGCCTATACTGTCAGGACAACCATTGGCTGCCGCTGACAGCAATCACCGCGGGTCTAGTCCTTGGCCCCTACAACACCCTGGGCTTTTATAAAATAAAAATATAAAAAATTAAGTTGAAATCAAAAAAAAAAAGAGAAAGACCTGTGCTGTCGACAGGAAGGAGTGAACTGTGCATTTGTCCGCTTTTTCGGTCGCGTACATTGAACTTATGGACACGTGTGGGCAGTAGTTGCGACTACTCTCGTGTCGGCGCATGGATGCTTTTTCGGTCCTCCGTGTACAATATATGCTATCAAAATGTGTCTGTGTGTTCTACTTGCCCACCTTATGCTGGGTGGGTGGGTGGCTTTGGAAGACCCTGCGTCTACTCCTCCCCTTTGTGGTGGATTGCTGGGTGGGTTTGAAGGAGAGATTACGACATCGACGAAAGTGGCGGCGGCATCAGTGATGATAGTGATATGTAATGGCAATGCCATCCGTCATGCGGGGGCTGATGGACTAAGTGCTAACTTTGCTTTCTTGAATTCAGTCCTTTGGGTGTTTCCCGCATTTCAGTGGGATTCAGCAGAGAGAGAGAGAGAGAGAGAGAGAGAGAGAGAGAGAGAGAGAGAGAGAGAGAGAGAGAGAGAGAGAGAGAGAGAGAGAGAGATCTTCAAACAAGTTTGGAAAGAGATTGTACTTAATTTTCATACAGTTGTTACAGCATTTTTGTTGTTTTTGTTGTACATCGCAAGCAGCTGCTACTTTAGCTTCACATAAATTGTGTTTGTCCACCAAGTTTGTTCAATGGTCGTAATTAGCTCAGAGTCAATCAATGCAAAACACAAAAACAAATGCTTGATTCTTTGTCGACCCCAGGTAGGGTGTCTACAAAAGACCCATCCACAAAGTTGTTGAAATATCCGGAAATCCATACGGTGAAAGATTGCAGAGCATTCCGAAAGCTTAGAGTAGTTTCCCCAACCTGAAATCAACGGAACCAAAGCACTGAAGTCCAAAAAGCATCCTGAGGTTCAAATATCAGCCTCGTAATCTCGCTATGTGCTGGAACACCTTATGTACTGATTTATTTTGGGAGACATGGTTCAAGCCCGGACCTATCAATTTCTTGTGCAAAGAAGAGCCATACTAATACTACGTGCGCGGGATAACGACAGAATTTAGAGAGAGAGAGAGAGAGAGAGAGAGAGAGAGAGAGAGAGAGAGAGAGAGAGAGAGAGAGAGAGAGGATGCATGCATGAATGCATGTTTTTCAAGTAGTCAATCAAGCAGATGAGTGTATCAATGTGGTATGTGGTGTCTCTCACTCCTTTCTGTATTTCAAACAATCTATATGTGTGTGACATGT